GGAACCTCTTCTAACCGGTTTGGTAGATTTGACGAACCGGTTCTACCGAATAGGTGCAAACTGGTAGGAACCCACCTCTGGCTCAGGACCCCTATCTGGACTCATTGGAGCAGCGCCAGGGTTGGTGAACAGGAGATTGGATTTCACTAGATTGAATATCAGAAGACTGATGTTCTAAAAGGAAGCCCTTTATAAAAGAAAGTAGAAATGATAGTAATGATAGCAAAGATCCCTATGTGACAGGTAACTTTATTACATTAATTGTGTAAAGATTGCATCAAGTTTGTATGCCCAGAATGTTCCGTCAATTATTCCTATGGTAACTCTGCACATTTTAAATTTATAATAATAAAACATTTAATTAGTTTTGACAGAAGGGTGAAATTTGTCATCTACTTCAGATAACGCTTATATGAGCCAAACAGAAACTTCCTGCTTCAATCACCAAACAGCTCCAACCAACTGATTGGGATAAGCTCCAACACAAGGCCTCCTGAAATGAACCAAACTGCACTTAAAAAAAAAAAATTAAGCACGTAAAGCAAAAGTTGTGCCTGTCTGCTGAGTCAGACTATAGCTCCAATAGGCCAGTGTGTGATACTAAATGGATTCCTTTTATTAACTCTTGGTAACATCAGGGACTGGACCAATTACCATAGGAGCAACAATGATATTTTCAAAGCTTTCATAGCTTCAAAAACAAAAAGATTATGGAGACTAAGGTGCATAAAATTATGCATGATATGGAGCCAATAAATATTCAGACATTGTTCTCCTTTTATAATGGAGCCCGTGAAACTGAATGGCTGAAAATTCAGGGTAGATATTGAAATGTTTCTTAACATAGCACATAGATAAAGCGTTGAGTTCAATGTTTCAGTGATTGCTACCAACCTGGACAACTTAAGTGGGCAATGTAATAAAGGATAAGGATAAGGTATTCATTATCATTTCTTCTCTTACACTCCATGTCATACTCTTTCACGTTTTCTGCTTTTCTCCAGATGGGTCCATTGAAGCTGCCCATCACAGCTTTGTTCAATCAAGGTTTTCACGTGATGCTTTTTTGTAAGTCAAATAAGATGTAAATTAGGGTGATATATCTGATAACAGCAAATATATGAAGGGTAATTAATATCCAAGAAATTAATAAAAAAATAAAGAAGCACAGTTGGCATGATTGTTTATAATGGAAAAACCAAGGTTGGAAAGAAGTTTTCAATGTGAGGCAAACTAATTTTTAGTAATGTCAAGTAAGTCTTGGGGAAAATGGACATGCAAAAAAGAAAGAAAGTGAAAGAAATAAAATAAAGTGACTGTAGACAGAGAAAGAGCAAATTCTCTATGAAATGGTTAATATCACAAAAAGTGTGTAGAAATTGAATGTAAGGAGAGAAGATAAAAATAGAAGAATGCTGGTCTATTTTTGATGGAGATGGATGATTCAAAAACTTGTAAAATAAATAAAATAAAAACGAAAAAGCAGGATTAAGGTTATTGAAATCATTGTGAGAAAAAGTTAAAATATAGATTGATTGGCCCCTGCTGTTGAGTAATTCTTTTTCATTTCAATGCAGCTTTATGATTTGTTTACAAGAAACATATATTAGAAAAAGATCTAAAATATTTGAGTCACAAAAATGACTTTTTGTTCATTTTTTATAAACAATTGTTTATTTATTTAAATTCATTTAAATTTATTCAACAAGAATAAAAAAGAAATTGAGTTGTTTTCAGTACAAATCCTCCACTGTATCCAAAAAATCATGGCAGGCTTGTTGGGGTGGAAGTTAATCTATAGAGGGCTAAGACTTTGTTATTGAAAAAATATGCTCTAAATGATGATTTTATAAAGGACCCATGGATAGATTATTGGACTTTCAGTATCAAAATTAGCATCTTGGGACAGTGGAATTGGATGGTTTCCTCACAAATAGATAGAACTTCTGAGAAAAATATTAAAAATATACAAGGCAAAGTAGCAAAGATTCTTTTTGATTTAATAAATAATTTGGAGCTTGTTGATGTATAGAGATTTAAAAATAGGGGCCTTATTTTTCCAAGAAACATAGCTCTTTTCCAAAAATAGATATGATCTGAATCTCTAACTGTTGCTATTCATAAAGTGTAGATATTATAACAGTTTCTCAGATCACATTCCATTGACATTAAATTTTGAAAAGAAAAGTGTCTCTTTTAGTGGAGATTGAATGAGATGTCATTACAAAAGGATATGGTAGTGGAGAATTGCAAAAAGAATTTAAGAGTTTTTTTCCCCAGTAATCTTAAAGGTACAGTAATAAGAATAGTGTGGATGCAAATAAAGCTTTTCTTTTCAAAATTTAATGTCAATGGAACGTGATCTGAGAAACTGTTATAATATCTACACTTTATGAATAGCAATAGTTAGAGATTCAGATCATATCTATTCTTGGAAAAGAGCTATATTTCTTGGAAAAATAAGAAGTCTCTATTTTTAAATCTCTATACATCAACAAGCTCCAAATTATTTATTAAATCAAAAAGAATCTTTGCTACTTTGCCTTGTATATTTTTAATATTTTTCTCAGAAGTTCTATCTATTTATGAGGAAACCATCCAATTCCACTGTCCTGAGATGTTAATTTTGATTTAATAAATAATTTGGNTAATCCCATTTGCAGACAGATCCTGCCTTATGTAATGGCTCCTCTCCTGACTTGAGAAAGTAAAGACTCTTGAAATGGATTATTTCAAAAGGAACTTTTAATCAAATGTGGGATGTGAAAACCATTAGAAGCAAAGCAGCATCTGAAAACCTTTAGGCCATGCAAATGGGATTAAGCTGATTATGACCACTCCCTTTTTCTGACCAATGCACAAGTGTGAAGATGCTTCCTTAACTCTTCTGCCCTGGGAGTCAATAAAGCACATGTTTCCATGGCTATCTCTAGTTAGACATCAAAGATATATCCCACATGGTTACCATAAACATCCCTCCAGAGATGTTGAGGTCTTCAGCTTCCTAGTGGCAGAAAACCAGTTGTAAAGTTGTAAAACTCAGTTGTTTCAGATGTAGCTAATGATTTAACTCCAAGGCTCCCCTCCTCCCAATTGAATGGCAGTATTACCTTTAGGGATTTGACACTGTGTGTATTGTTAGCCTGTCAGAAATTTGGTGGATGGTTTCCAAATTTAATAAATAAATAAAAGCTTACTGCTATTTAATTTGAATGCTTGGTATTATTGAGATCTGAGTTGAAGGCAATATTTGAAAAATGTCAGGCTGTTCTCTTAATTATTTTCATGCCATGATCATTTTAACATATAATGGACTGCTCATAGATTATTCTGAAGTAATTCTTGCAGTGGCAACCCTATTTCTTTCATTTACTTAAATTACAATCTTTGTTGATCCTGCAGAAATGGAAGCTGCATTAACATACATCATAGATAGAGATTTGTTCTTAGTAACTTTGACTTCTTTTTTGAAGAAAAGCTGTAGTAAGATGTACTATAAGCAATAGCATAATTCTGGACACTGCACCTTAAAAGTTACAAATGCAAAGAGTTGAAGAAAATATGTGTTTATCTGTTCTAGGGAGAAGAAGGAACTGTTGGTTTTGGCAATATAGGAAGAAAAGGAAAGAAGGTAATCATATCAAATTAACTGTACATTTGGGCTTAGATTCTTTTGAGAATATAACACAATTCACAATTGTTAATTGTACTATATAAAATATGTACAGACACATACAATAGGAGAAAGTTTACATAATAAATTATGCTTCCCTGAGGTGGATAAGCACCTAAATCCACTTTGATTGATTGATTGTGTGTGTGACATCAGATCATGGGGAGTGATGATCAAAGAATATCAGGAGTATATGCTAGTCACTCAAAGTGTGACAGCCATCCCAGTCACCTAGTTAAAACAGGCAGGCACTTATGTTGGGCAATAGCCATATAAAAATGCTGAAGGTGGATATCATTTAATGACAATGGCAAAGACATCCATTCATATTGTGTGGAAGAAGAATAAATCAAATACATAACAGCTTACTTATTTAGCCTCTTATCATTTTAATTCCTTTAATTAGTAATTAGTTTCCTAAGGTGCTCAATTTTTCAATTTTGCTAAATAAACTATGTTTCCTTAAGTAAATGAATTTTGTGTTACTTCTAGAAAATAATTGTAGGGTATTGTATGTTTTCATTATAGGGTATAGAAGGATTCCCTGGAGACTGTGGAGACCAGGCAAGTATTTTTAGCAGTGGTTTGCTCTCCAAGCTTGTTTCAATTTAGTTTATGAACTTTCCAAACTAGGTAACTTCATCAACAGAATTTTCTTGTCCTATTCTCCTTAGGTTATAAATGTCTTGTGCAAGACTATACATAAAACTTATGATTGTACGTACATAAATTTCTAAAGCAATTGCCATAGGGATGGGATGACACCAATTCATGAAAAATATCCAACGGTGACTTTCAGTAATGCTCAGCTTGTATGTTAGCTCCCCCCTAAACTATTTTTGTGGTTCCCAAATGACTATACTCTTTAAAACTCTTCAGTTTTAAAACCATTCAATAAACCTTGGGAACATCTGTGCCTTGCAAGACATAAGTACAATTGTTGCAATTTTTATATTTGGTGGTTCTTTGTGCACATGTTAGAAGTCAACTGCACAATCATTCCACAAAAGGGTAAAAAAGAGAAAATCATAAAACTCATTTCATCATATTGCTTTGCAAACTGCATGACTTACATACTTGCACTCCTTTTTTGCATCTGTTTTTAACAAAAGCCAAGCCAAACCTATCAAAATCAGCACTGAGAAAGATAGAACAGGTATACATATCAAACAGGAAAGGAATTAGTAAAATAACCTATCTACCATAGATGAGTACAAATCACCTGGCCAAATGGTTTCTATCTAAGGATTTTGAAGGAGCTAGCAGATTTAATTTCAGAGTCACTGAATATAATTTTTCAAAGCTCATGTAGCACATGAAAAATACCAGAGGACTGGAAAAGAGCTGATGTAGTTCCAATCTAGAAAAAGAGAGGGGGAATGAATCCAGAAAATGATAGGCTAATCAGCTTAACATCAATATCTGGAAAATCCTGGAAAACGTAAATGGAGGATTTGTGAGCACCTAGAAACAAACAAGATGATTACTAAAAGCCAGCATGGGTTTGTTAAAAGTAGATCATGCCAGACAGAACTCATTATCTTTTTTTAATAAAGTAAATTAGTGGATCAGTAAAATGATGTGTTATAGGATTGTTGGACTTCAGTAAACCACAACCTACTTCTTGGTAAGATAGAAAAATGTGGGATAGACAGTACCATCACCATAAGGATGTGCAATTGGTTGATCGATCATATTCAGAGTATAGTCTTCAATGGAACTATATCTACTTGAAGGAAAACATGCAGTGAGATGATACAAAAAAGTTGTTGAAACCCAGGAAAGTGTGCAGAGAAAGGTAACAAAGATGATAAAGGGTTTGGATGCTAAATCATGACAGACAGTTGAGGGAACTAGGTATGTCTAGCCTATCCAAGAGAAGGATTAGGGGTGAGATGATACTGTAACTATCTTCCAGTACTTGAGGAGTAGTCACAAATTAGAGGGTTTGACTTTTTCTCTAGGGCACCAGAGGATAGTAATAAGAAGTAATAAGTGGAAGATTGTGAAAAAGAAATCCAGCCTAGAAGTAAAGGAGAAATTTTCTGACAGTGAGAACAAATAATCAATCGAATAATTGATCTCCTGGGTTGTGAGTGCTTCATCATTGGAGGTTTTCAAAAACAGACTAGATAACCATTTCACCAGGATGGTGTAAGGCTCCTGCCTTGAGCAAGGCATTGGACTAAAAGACCTCCAAGGTTCCTTCCAATCCTATGATTCTATGTTTGTATGTCACAATTTTCTTTTTGCAGTTTCTATAGGATGCTTATCATCTCTTTAAATATCTAATTTCAATTGTTTGTAATTCTTTGTAACATTAGCTAAAATAGATAATTCTGCCTATCAGAATAAGCAGTATACTATGTTTTGCATTGTTATATATCATATATTTTATATACATTTTATTAATTTTGTTTGTACTATATTTGGCAGGGAAAACCTGGAGATATGGGGAATCCTGGAAAACCTGGACTAAAAGGAAAAAGAGGAAGAATGGTATTTTGAAATAAGCTGTACAAAAGCTATTTTAATGTTAATGGTTTTGTTTGATTATTACCATGTTTCCTTGAAAATAAGGCAGGGTCTTATTTTCTTTTGACACTTGAAATAAGTTCTTAGCCTTACTTTCGGGGAGGTTTCATTATTTTTGAGATGCAGGAGGTGGTGAGCGTAATCACCTCATGGCTGCTGTTGTCTTACAATATTTTCAGGAAAACTTATTTTTGAGGGAGGGCATATGCACTCAAAACTCCGATTGGGCTTATTATCTGGGAAGATCTTATTTTCAGGAAAATAGGGTACATGTTGTATTTTTAATATATTCCTATTTTTTCTCCTCCAAATAATTCAAAATGTGTTTTGGGGAGTTATGCAGTCCTCTTTTCATTGAGTTCTCAAAATTTCCATGGAGAGTGGCTCCTTTACCATCAAATTTCTAAAACCAACAGTGTAGGAATAGGAATAGGAATAAGTTTATTTATAGGCCGCCCTTTTCCCTGAGGGGACTCAGGGCGGCTAACAACTTATATAGGAAGGGGATACATACAGTAACATATAACATAACACGTAATTAAAAATAAATAGTTACAATGACAAAGGAAAAAAAAACTTTCCACAGCGATCCCATTAGGATTATTTTCGC